AGATTTACCCAACCCTCTGACTCCTCGGTGCTTCGCAGGGAAGGAGAATGGAATTCCTACTTGGAGAGTCAGGGGGACTTGGTAAGAAGGTTAATAGCCCATATAGCTCATATAATAACTCTAGTTATCCCCATTATTAACCTACTTATTAAGTCCCCCTGACCCGCCAAGTAGAGTAGCCCCCTCAGAGACCCCACAATAGCCAGTCCTAGAAATCACTCGCTGTTGCCTGCTTAGCACCCCAAACCTTAAACCCCAAACCTTAGTACATGCATATCTATTCCCGCTTCCATTCCCTACTATGCCTCACTCAACCCTAAACACTCTCTTTGCCGTGCCCTGCTACGCATCCGAAATCCTCGACTCACTATGCTGGTATAGTAGTTTCCATGTCCTGCTCCATTCCCTACTCTGCCCCCTAAACATCTTAACATTTCCATTCTTTTCCCCACCCGAAGCCCTACCAACCTAAACCCTAAACCCTACAATGCACATAGGTGCTGTTGCCTTGTCCACAGTCAGATCTTCAGTCTCTACTGCGCTGGGCAGCTCTAGAGCTGTCTCCCAAAGCCTGAGCCGGGGCTTAGGGATCAGGGTTTAGGGTTTAGGGATCAGGGTTTAGGGTTGAAGGCTAGGTTGAGATGAGCTGGAGTCTAAACTCCTAGTATCCCTTTCAACAGCCCCTTAATAGTCCCCTATATAACCCCCTTTAATGAATTTACACTACAGCTCAGATGGTGATCCGAGGGTCTCAGGGCGCAAAAATTCCGAGCTTTTGCGGTGTAAGCTTCGGAGTTGCGTGTTTATGGGTCTGCGCCCGGTGGGTTAGTTTCTGTGCTAGGGTTTAAGGTTTAGAGGGGCTTTGGGGGGGCCCTTTCGGCACCTTGCACGTGCCAAACACCGTAGCAGCGCAAGACATCGATGTCGCAAAACAATACTGATTTGAGCATTGTCGGAATAGAAAGGGCTCTAGGGGCTTTTGTCGGGCTATATGAAGGCCCCAATCTATCACACAGCGACACGTATGCAATCCCTAAACCGGGACCTCCACAATGCCTTCGAATTCTGATGTATCGCCATAAGGTCCCAAAGGCCTCGCCCTTCATTAGAAACACACATTTGCTGGAATCTCCAAAGCGGGTGCTTGTTTGAACCCATAATGATGTGAGGTTCACGAGATAACCCGACAAACCCGAAACACTAACTTGTAAACTCTTCACGCCTTAAAAAGCTAGACTACTACGCTCCGAAGCTTTAACCCTGAACCATACCTGGGTAGCCCAACGACCATAAATAAAACAGATGTTTGCTAAACACTCACTTTTTATCCAAACGACCGTTTTTTGAAA